TTTCAAAGTTGGGTGCCTTTAAAAAAGAAAGAGAAACCTGATTCACTCTTTATCCTCAAGAATAAGAAGGATATGCTTTAGTGATACAATCTATCTTCTGATCTTTCCTGGTCGTCTCATATCTTGACGATTTCCAAGAAAATATACCGTCTTACCTTCTACATCAAGAAGTTAAGACATTCTGGTGTAACCCAACTCTTACTCCTACAATTTGTTAACTCCCGTATTCTGCCTATTATTCTCTATTGCTCCCCCTTAGTCTTTCCTGAACTATTGAAGAAAGACTATACCTTATTACGTAGGATGTTAAAGGTTGTCAGCAGGGTAAGCAGTTTGACACTTAGCCAGCTTGTTAATATTCTGGTCGACAGGCACATGGACTCATGTGAAAAATGGTCGAAATCCATTTTATCTGACTCACAACACCCTCTACATTCACAACTCTCCCCACGTATCTCTTCAGGGAAAACCAGAAGCCTATATAGGAAACTATATGCCCGCACTAGCAAGTAGAAAAACTCATCCATACTCTACCTAGCTCGTGTTTTGTGCGATAAAGAAAGCATTAGGTGTGAAACCTTTAACTTATTAAATAGTCAGTAGAACAAATGGATCTCGTCTTTCCAACTCACATCATTTACAGGTACAACGTTTTCTCTCTACTTTTTTTCATTCTGTATTTATTTTTGTTATGTGCTGTTTTGTTTCTCTCTTCCTTACAAACTCTACTTAAAACATTCTTGTTCGTTCTTTCACACTCTGTATATCTCGACCATTTTGCTATCGCTTACGCCAGTAAATATGCTAGTAGTATCTACTTTTCTAACACCTTCAAACACTCTGTTTAAATTTTGGCTGTGCTGCCGACATGCTAATATATTGTTGTCAAAACTGACTGAGATAACTTTAATCTATGTAGAACTTTATTTATTGTTAATGTGCTAACTGGATGCAATATTGTAGTAAAATGCTGAGAATTCCATTCTGTATCACAAGTACTGATTTGGAATAAAGCTTATGTTATGTTATGTTATGTTAGACGGGGAACTGGGACGACACAGACAAATCCTCATAGAGAATGGATATCCTCCAAGATTTATCGAGAAAAACATGAAGTTGAGAGAAAAGCCTGAAAAAACCCAGATAGTGCCGAAGAAACTACTATTTATGAGTGTTGAATTTAAAGGTGATACTGCAGCTGAGATCCTGAAGAATCGCTTATGCAGATCACTGAGGAAAGCCTTCTTTACGGCCCAGCTACGTATCAGTTTCTACTGCCGACAAATGATCAATGGATGCATGAAAGATAAACTGCCGCTTTGGGCCAATTCAATTTGTCTTCATAAATACACCTACTCGTGTGGAGTTTGTTATATCGGCCGCACAAAGCGCACGCTTTCCAAATGCATCTCTAAACATTATCCGGCATGGTTAGCAAAGGGACAATGCAAGACAATTACTAGCTCTATTCTCGAGCATTTGGTGAACTCAGGCCACGTAGCTCCACCAGAGTCGTCTTTCAACATAATCTACAAAGTGAAGCCAAATTGTACAAAGGGCGTCAGGTTTCGGCTTTTGTGTATGGTGGAGGTGATGGCAATTCTTCAACACAACTCTGAATTCTGTATACAAAAAAAAGTTTGTCCAGTCTCTTATTCTACCTTGGTCTTAACCTTTTCACAAGTCGTTCCCTGTAAAAAGAATTCTGAGTTTTTCTTTTCATTTTTTAATTTTACTTTTAGTTTGCTTTTGTTTTAATAATTAATTCACTATTATATCACTCTCATATGCTCATTTTATACATTTCACACCCTCTCCACACTTGTTAAATTGGCACTCAAATACCACCTTTATTCTCACTCAAGAGCAATTTTAACCTTATCAAACGTCTATCTTTGTTCCGTTGAGTACCATGTAATTTACAACTTTTAATTTTCACTTCTAAAGCCACTTCTGAGTAATTATATCAATTATATCATCCACCTAATACTCAATAATAGACCACCAAATATTTTTTGTAAGTATAAATACGACTGTACAGCCAGCCTCTGGAGATGATCTCGTCGATAAAGAAGAAACTTTCTTCGCCGAATTTGGCTTTTTATATTTTCTTCATGACTCAATGGGTATTTTTCTGTGATTTGAAGCAGAGCAAGAACCCTGTGGCACTGAAACAACTTGATACGTTTCTCACGTAATTGCGTATTTTATTTTGTCTGCATGTTCACCCTGAGCACAACTCTTTCACAACAAACTATTCATGTTGTTATTACGTAACTCTTCTTTAACAATTGTTTGTGACAACTCATCACTTTTGTTATTACCCTTTTATATCAACATTCAATTCCTCTGAATACTTTTCGTGCTACGTACATTCGTCCGAGCAAGTCGCTCTTGCTCTGTGAACCAGGCACTTTCTCCAATTGCGTTTGTATTTCAAGGGCACAAAACTGAGAAAATGTGTTTACTGGCCCGTTGATGTAGGTTTTCTATAAACACTTCTTCTTATTGTGCCATCCTCTTTTCTGGTCATAAAGACGTCTAAAAATGGAATACTAGAGTCCTTTTCTTTGTCAGTAGTAAAATTTATTTCAGGATGTACCTCATTAAATTTATCCAGGATGCTCTTTGCTTCCTTCTCATTTTTCATAATCAAAAAAGTATCATCCATGTACGGACAATAAAATTCGAATTCACTAATAACATCTTTCAGTGGCCCATTTTCTAGTTTCGTAAGGAAAATGTCGGCTAGACTGGGTCCTAGTGGTGACCCCATCGCCACACCGTCAATTTGTCTATATAGTTCCTTATTAAATAAAAAGTGAACATTCATTGTACATTTCAAGAGAAGCTCTTTCATAAAAGATATAGGAATGCCAACATCGATGTTTCGTCTTTTGAGTTCTTTGCATACAAAATCCACTGTTTCCATAAGTGGTACATTGGTGAATAAGGAAGATACGTCTGGGAGTGAACCAACCAGGAACCGATCGTGAAACAAATAGGCAGGAAGAAATGGAAATGGATTGGCCACACGCTGAGGAAACCATCAAGTGACATCACTGGATAAGCCATCGCTCGAGTAGAACCCGAAAGGGAAGGGGCGAGTTGGTCGTCAGTGCAAGGGTGAATTGGAGGACGTCATGTGAAAAGGAGATGAAAGCATTTGGGCAGACTTTTAGCGAGGTGAAAAAGTTGTCAGAAAACCGAAGGCAATGGAGGTGCGCAGCTGAAGCCCTATGTTCCTCTAGGAATTAAAGGATATAATAATAATAATATACAAGTGAATGCAGTGCAGTGACTGAGCTTTTCTCCAAGTTATGTAACTTAGCAGGTTCAGTCATTTTTTTATATTTCAGTAATCTAGTTGACGCCGATCAACTTGTCTGACCTATGAAGTTAATTCGCCCTACTCACATTCATTACATGGTATTTGATCAATGATATTACTTTTCTTAATTGGATCTATTATGGCTTTCAGCCGACAGACAAAGTTTATCTCTGAGAGAGTTACTTCGTTGGTTTAAATGCCATCCTATCTAATTCCAGCCTCATTGAGAATTCTACAGAAGACCTGTGATTCTCTTTCTGCAGACTGTAGTACTAGAGAGACTTTGCATTCTATATTATTTTTAAAACATGTCTGAATTACTTCTGAGGGATAGTTAGATACTCATCCAACACCTGTACAACAATGCTGCACGCCGCCAAGTAATCCACAATGAGAAACTCACGGAATCCTTCGAAGAAGTGAACTTGGGAGTAAGACAAGGCCGGGTGGCTGACTGCCGACTATCTCCAATGATTTTCATGATTGTATTAGACTGCATAAAGTCACAGACAGTGGGCAACAAGGAAACAGGCATAAAATAGACCCACACAAAGCACTTGGAGGATCTGGACATCGCAGATTGTATACGTTTGACTTGTCACAAACTGGAAGATATGCAAGTGAAAAGCAACAAATTGGAGATAGAAGAAGCATTCAGAGGAGATAAAACTTCGGGTGAACATAGAGAAAACAGACGTAGGTGATGAAGATTCCTCTGGCCAACAGCAACAGCAACAACAACAGACAACAAACAGCCAGCATAAATGGGAGAAATCTGAAAGAAGCAACCTCCTTTGCCCACCTACCTAGGAAGCATCGTTTCAAATACAGGCGGACGGATCTGATGAGGGCATCAAAGCGAGGATTGGGAAAGTAAGGTAAGCTTTCATTACTCTCAAGTCTGTGTGGAGGTCAACAGCACTCAGCATGAAAAATAAGATCCTGATTTTCAACTCCAATATAAAGTCAGTGCTACTTTATAGATCAGAGACTTGTACCGTGTGTTAAGAATGGCACTTCAGACAGACTACAAACCTTCATCAACAGCTGTCTTCGCCCGATTCTTCACTCAAGATCAGACGGCCAGCCAGAAAAGATCAGCGACGGGGACCTCTGGCAATGAGCGAACCAACCTATTAGGAACCGACTGTGCAACAAATAGGCAGGAAGAAATGCAGGCGGACTGGTCATACTCTGAGAAAACAAACCACCAAATGAGTGACGTTACACGGTAGGCGATCGCTCGAGTTGAACATGAACGGTAAGCGGAGAGTTGGTTGTGAGTATGAGGATGACATGGAGGAGAAGGTCATGCGAAGACGAGATGATGAAAGCATGTGGACAAGCGTTGGGCCAGGTGAAAACTTTGGTGGAGAGGGGAACGTAATGGAGACATGTGATTGAAGTCCTATGTTTCTCTAGGAACCACAGGAAACAACAATAATAAGAATAATAATAAAACGCAAACACACACATACACACATGAATAAAAGGAGCTTTCTGTTTTATTCTCTTTCAGAAAAGTAATAACAAGAGAAGTATGCATACATATACGAAAACAAAATCAAAAGAAGTCAAAAGAAAATCATACAATATCAGATTGTTTTTTGACTATTATACCAATATATTACTGACTACTGTATTACTAGTAACCGTATACATATACATTTATATATATATATATATATATATATATATCACATTCATGTGTAAAGTATTTGAAAGGAGACTTCACTGAAATTCTCGTTTTCACCATAACCAAAAATGTAAGAAGAAAAATTAAAATATTGATAACGAAAATAATCAATTCGATTGTGTAATACATAATAAATAAAAGCGTCTGTTTACTGAGTAGTATACATATCTATATAATATAGTCTACAGTTTGTATACAGTAGATTGAATAATTTAGTTGTTTTAATTGTTCAGTTACTGTTGTTGTTGTTTTTGACCTTGAATTTGGCGGAGTTTTTGAGAATGGTGACAAAGATGATATTGATGATGATAATATTGGGGAATGTAGTGCTTTCAAAAAGACGACAATACGGATACTTCTATTACTACTATTACTGTCATTACCAAAACTAAATAAATAAATATACATTGACTGTAGTATTCAACAATAGAGATCTAGGCTACTCTCTCCGATAATGCGAAAGACAAGTGTACAAATTTATCCTGTTAAAATGAATGAAATGGAAATTGTTATGATACATATATATATACAGAGGAAAAAATGAAAACGATTATTTAAAAAAAATATAAATATTAACAGTAGTAAAATTCAGATGTAAGTTTGATGAAAACTGACAGACATTTGTGGCGAGAACTGTTTGAGAATCGAAATTATAGACAACAGTTTGCATCCCGAGTCGGGTTCATGGAAAAAAAAACAGTAACAAAGCCTAACCTTGAGGAACTCAACAACCAATCATAGCAGACTTAACGTGTGCAAATATGATTCGCATATATATGGCTTAACTTTCTAAGAAATGGACACAGGCAGTACGGAATAACCTTCAGCAAGAAGACAACCTTCTCTGCTAACAATAATGCTAATAACAATGTACACAAAAATCTATACATATCTGTTGATTTTCTCAATAAACGATCTGTTGCCTGGCCCTTAACTTCTATGGTTACACATTAAAGAATTTCAGCTACTATTTCCTTCTTCTTACAGCTTTTGAAAACTATGTGATGTAAACTTGGTGAGTAGAAGAGATACTGGATTCAGCCTAGTTTTGGACTTATCAGAAGTAAGCACCCAATGCTAAGGTTCGAACCCTGGACCTTCATGTTACAAGGCAAGCTAGCTGGTAGACCATTCAGTCACTTGTATCCAACTCAGTGGCCCAAGAATACAAGGCGAAGTTTCTTGGAGTTCTAGTGAGAAGTCATGACCAATGAGGACCATCCGGTAGGCAGTTACAACAAAAACTCTGCGACGATCCTGGCATGTAATTGGGCTAAATTCACAACTTGGTAGAAGTTTGAATTCATGGGCTTGCCATTGAGTCGGATCCCTATGGCTGAATAATTTACGGGCTAGCTTGACTTGTAACTGAAAAACCGTCGGTTCGAACGCCGGGTGGTGTATGCGAACTGGATATAAGTCTCAAAGTAAGACGAAACAACTGTCCTGTACTCCCATGTTTTACGCTGGTTCTCTAACTGATGTTAGCTGATAAGGAAATACCATATCCAATAGAACAAAATCCCTACAAAACTAACGACTGAAAAATTGATGTGATGTTCACTAGCGACTGGCCCTATTCAGGCATTTAACCTAAGGTTCTAGTGGGAAGCCATGACCGGTAGGGTACAGCGTCTTGACGGTAAGGCAGTAACTCATTGAAGAATATATACTTACATTATTTCAGGTTAGACAACGGATTGATATCAGTTAGAGAACCACTGAAAACCTGGGAGTACTAGTTTGGGACTGTTCGGTAGAACGCACCCATTGGGTTTCGAACTCAGGAACTTTCGGTTACACGGCAAGTTCGTATACCATTTAACTACTGTGACCTGAGTTAATGGCCATTCCATCAATTCCAACTTTTACGAATACCTGATTAGAGGCTGACTAGCACAAACCAATGTTATTAGTGGAAACTTCATCCTCACTCCCGACTGAATATCTACCACTGGTCACAACTCACGAGAACTCCAAGTAACTTCGTGCTTTATTATTATTACCCTCAGGTGGTCTACATACATACACCAGTCAATTAGATGAGATTTGTATTTTACAATGAATGAAAAAGAAAATATCCTGTATCCGATATATATCCATATTTTATTAAGAAACAATGTAATCCTAACCTGATACGATATAGAACAACTGACTAACTGACTGACTGTCTGACTAACCTAACATTGGTGTAGAGGAGGCTTTTAGTTTTTTCTTTTCTTTTTCTCCACACATCTTCAGAATGATTTGAAAGTCACAAAAGTCATCCTTGCCTTTCTCATTCTCGTTTTGACATCCTCATCCATACGATGTGACTTTAGTAGGGCAAGTGGGATATCGTTAAACCAACTGGTGAACACTATTGTAGATAGACATATTATGTCATGTAAGAAACTAGCGAATACAATATTGTCGGACCCCGAGCATCCTCTCTATACGCATCTATCTCCTTGCATTTCATCTGGAAGAACTAGAAGCAGCTATAGGAGGCTATATGCTACGACTACCGAATACAAAAACTCCACAATACCATATCTGGCACAGTTGTTATGTGATGAGAAATCCGTTAGGTATGACACGATAAACTTACTGCAGCACTCTAACAAATAGTCTCATTAGTTTTTGTTTTCCTTTCCTCGTTACTACTACACTGTTGTTCTCATCTACTACCACACATCAACTTTATATTTCAAATCCTGTGGTGCATTGTTTGAAATGAAATACTCTACGCTGTTTTTTTTCTTAATTTTTAATATTTATTTATTTTATTTATTTATAAAGCTGCCCAGATCGCCAACGAGATGAAAAGATACGGAATACAAGTGCTGGGAATATGTGAGAGCAGATGGAATGGGAGTGGACTCACCAAATTGTCAACGGTGAGTCAGTGATCTACTCCGGTCACCCAGAAGATAACCACACGCACACCGAGGGCGTGGCTATCATGATGTCACCAACGGCAACGAAAGCCCTGATACAATGGGAGGCGATTTCGTCCAGGATAATGACCGCCAGGTTCAACTCCAAAGGAAGGAAAGTGTCAATCATACAATGTTATGCACCCACAAACAACGCAGACCTCGAAAAGAAAGAAGAATTCTACAGGCAACAATGGACAATACTCCAGCTGGCGACATGAAAATACTAATGGGAGACATGAACGCCAAACTGGGACCAGACAATACAGGAAGGGAACTCATCATGGGTAGAGAAGCTCTAGGAGAAATGAATGAAAACGGAGAACTCTTCGCCGACTTCTGCGCCTTCAACGAACTGGTGATTGGTGGCAGTGTATACAAGCACAAAGATATCCACAAGGCTACATGGGTGTCACCAGACGGGCAAACCAAAAACCAAATCGACTTCATCTCAATCTCAAGGAAGTGGAGGCGCAGCCTACTGGACACAAAAGCAAGAAGAGGAGCAGACGTTGGCTCAGACCACTATCTCGTACAAGGGACAATCCAAATCAAATTAAAAGCTTTCAGGGAATCAGGAGCTGCAGATAGACCACAAGCCAAGTTCAACACTCAAAAGCTGAAGGACCAGGCTACAAAGGACATCTTCATTGCAAGCATAAAGGACAAAGCTGAGACACAAATCAACACCAGCGAAAAGGTCGGCGTCGAAAAGCACTGGAACAACTTGAAAACGGTGTGGAGCCAAACCTGCATAGAAATTCTAGGCAGAAAAAAGAGACAGGACAAACAGTGGCTCACTACGGACACTTGGAAACTAATAGAAGAGAGAAGGACAGTGAAGCAAAAGATTATCCAGTGCACTGACGAGCAACAAAAACAGGAGCTGAATGCAAGCTACAATACACTGAACAAAAGAGTGAAGAAAAGTGCCAGGGAAGACAAAAGAAAATATTATGAAACCATGGCAAACGAAGCAGAACAAGCTGCAGGCAAAGGAGACCTCGCCACACTCTACCAAACAACTAGGAACCTTTCGGGCAAACGTTCGACACAGATTAAGCCAATAAAGGACGACAATGGAAAGTCAATCACCAAAGAGGTGGAACAGAGAAAGCACTGGGTTGAACACTTCAAAAGACTTCTAAATCGTCCGCCACCTACAACACGTCCAGCAATACCAACAACGGAAGCAGAACTACCAGTGAACACTGACCCCCCGACGAAATCAGAAGTCCTGAATGCAATCAAGATGCTTAAAGCTGGGAAAACACCGGGACCAGATGGAATCCCAGCAGAGGCTTTGAAAATAGACCCAGAGACAACAGCGGACTTGATGACACCACTACTGGAGAAGGTGTGGAAAGAGGGCAAAGTACCCGAGGATTGGAAGAACGGATACTTATTCAAACTTCCAAAGAAAGGAGACTTAAGTCAATGTAAAAACTGGCGTGGAATTATGCTTCTGTCCATTCCAAGCAAGATACTAAGTCGCATCATCCTGGAGAGAATCAAACAAGCCCTAGATGAAAAACTTCGTCCGGAACAGGCTGGATTCAGGAGAAACAAATCATGTATTGATCAAATCGCCACTCTACGGATCATCATTGAACAAAGCTTGGAATGGCAGTCACCTCTCTATCTCAACTTCATCGACTTTGAAAAGGCCTTCGACAGCGTCGATCGAGAGGTCATTTGGAAACTACTTCGCTACTACGGGGTCCCATCGACAATTATACACCTCATCCAACAGTTATACGACAATGCTGCATGCCAAGTAATCCACAACGGGAAACTTACGGAAGCCTTCGAAGTGAGGACGGGAGTGAGGCAAGGCTGTCTACTATCACCAATGATCTTCCTGATTGCAATTGATTGGATAATGCGACAGACAACGGCAACCAACGAGGGAACAGGCATAAAATGGACTGACACAAAAGACTTGGAGGATCTGGATTTCGCCGATGATATATGTCTGATTTCCCATAAACTGGAAGATATGCAAGTGAAAAGTAACAAGTTGGCAGAAGAAGCATCAAAGATAGGACTTCACGTGAACATAGATAAAACAGAGATGATGAAGATTCCTAGCCAACATCAACAGCAACAACAACAGACCACAATAAGCATAAATGGGAAGAACCTGAAAGAAACAACCTCCTTCACCTACCTGGGAAGCATCGTCTCAACTACAGGCGGAACTGACGAGGACATCAAAGCCAGAATCGGAAAAGCAAGACAAGCTTTCATTACTCTCAAATCTGTGTGGAGGTCAACAGCACTCAGCATCAAAAATAAGATCCGGATTTTCAACTCCAATGTGAAGTCAGTGCTACTATACGGATCAGAGACTTGGCGAGTCATAAAGAGCATCTCAAACAAACTTCAAACCTTCATTAACAACTGTCTCCGCTCAATACTCAAGATCAGATGGCCAGAAAAGATCAGCAACAGGGATCTCTGGGAGCGAACCAATCAGGAACCGATTGTGAAACAAATAGGCAGAAAGAAATGGAGATGGATTGGCCATACGCTGAGGAAACCATCAAGTGACATCACTAGACAAGCCCTCGAGTGGAACCCGAAAGGGAGGCGGCGAGTTGGTCGTCCAAGGGTGACTTGGAGGAGGTCATGCGAGGAGGAGATGAAAGCATGTGGACAGACCTGGAGCAGGGTGAAAAAGTTGTCAGAAAACCGAAGTCAATGGAGGTGCGCAGCTGAAGCCCTATGTTCCTCTAGGAACTAAAGGATACAATAATAATATAATATAATTTATTTATAACTTATTTATTTTATTTTTTTTATTTATTTATCTTTGATTTTTAAAAATCTTATATAATTTATTAGGTAATTAGATGCAATATACTGTAATGCATGCTGAAAATTCCATACCTGTACCACAAATACTGTTTGGAATAAAACTGTTATTATTATTATTAGTTGAAACGATGCTGCTTGCTGCCTAGATAAATGCAAGAAGTGACCTTCAAGTACTGCTAAAGATTCCCATACAAGGACAAAACAGCTCTCTGGCAGTAATTCCAGGTTTTCTAATGGTTCTCTAACCAATGTCAGCTCATGATGAAATCCTATAACCAATCAACCATATTCCTACAAACCAATACTTGAATATCAATGAAATGCTCACTGGCGACTGGACCTATTCAGGTTGGTAGTTACCTGGGGTTCTCTAGTGAGATGTAGTGACCAGTACGGTGCAGCAGGTCGGGTGTGAGGACAAATACTCGCCGAAGACATTGGCTAGCGGTTGAGCTATATCGTGAATTTACAGAAGTTAGAATTCATGGACTGGCCATTGGATCGGATCTCAGTGGCTTAATGATCTACAAGTTAACTTGCTTTGTAACCAGAAGGTCCTGAGTTCGAACCCTGGAGGTGGGTGCGTACTGATGAAGAGTTATAAACTAGGACGAAACAGCTGTCCAGTTGTCCTTGTTGGCTTTCCAGTAGTTCTCCAACCAATGTCAGCTCATGATGAAATCCACCCAAAAGTGATCTGCTTCAAATTTCTTCCACTGATAATGACTGGTGTTTATCGTTGTTATTTAATAATTTATAGTCAATTGAATTGTTAATTGAATTGTCTCAGTGACCAGTTGGTTAGTGAGTAATTTCTTATCTATGCGATATGAGTCATTTAAAAAAAAATTCTTATAGACTTCTTTTGTTTTCGTTTTCTCGTTACACTAGCCACACCTATTTATATTATTGGTATTATTATGTACAACATAGTTTAAAAAATAACTTTAGTAAATCAAAGTTTATTTTTTCAAATTCTTTAACTGGGTGACTACGCACTATCTATTAAGCATGATGTTATAGCTTACACCTAAATACTCTAGTTAGAATGGGTGCCAACAGGCCATATATGTGTATGTATGTGATGGGGAAAAATGCAGAAAATGCACGTCTACACGTTTAAAATTGTAATCTGCTGGTCAAAAGTAGGATGGGTATCCACCAAGATTTATCGACACAAAATCATGAAGGAGAAGCCTCCGGTGTCAGACATCGCAACGGTTTCTAAGAAGACTCTGTTTTACCTACCTACCTGGAAAGCATCGTTTCAACCACAGGCGAAACTGACGAGGATATCAAAGCAAGAATCGGAAAAGCAAGATATCCTTTCATTTCTCTCAAGTCTATGTGGAGGTCAACAGCACTCGACATGAAAATAAGATCCTGATTTTCAACTCGAATGTGAAGCCAGTGCTACTATACGGATCAGAGACTTGCACTGAGTGTCATGAAGAGCACCTCAAACAAACTTCAGACCTTTATCAACAGCCGTCTTCGCTGAATACCACTGAAGATCAGATGGGTGGCCAGAAAAGATCAGCAACACGGATCTCTCGGAGCGAACCAACCAGGAACCAATTGTGCAACAAATAGACAGGAAGAAATGGAGGTGGACTGACCATACTCTGAGAAAACAAACCATCAAGTGACTTCACTAGACAAGCCTTCGAGTGGATTCCGAAAGGAAAGCTGTGAGTTTGTCGTCAGTGCAAGAGTGACTTGGGGTGGGTCATATGAAGAGAAGATGAATGCATGTGGGCAGACTTGGAGCCAGGTGAAAACTCTAGCAGAGAACCGAACGCAATAAAGAAGTGCAGCTGAAGCCCTACGGTTCCTCTAGGAATTAAATGAAAAAAAATAATAATCGCAGCGGATATTCTCAGAAACCGCCTTTCTAAATATCCAAAGAAGACATTTCCAAAAGTCACCCCACATATCACATTCTCCAGTTATTCCAATCTATCGTTAGGGATAAGATACCGCTTTTGACCACCTCAATGTGTATTTATCAATTCACTTGTTCGTGTGAAGTAAAGTATATCAGCCGTACGCAACGCCAAGTCCACAAACGTATTATGGAACACTGTCCAGCTCGGATAGCTAGCCAGAAGAGAAAAGGAGAATAGCAGCAGCTCTAGCCTTGGACACCTTGTCATCTGCGGACATCTATCACCACCACGTGAATGCTTCACAGTGTTACACAGAGTCCCTCAATATCGTACAAAAAGACTTCGGATATGCCATCTGTACATAGATGAAGCATACATTAAACCGCACCTCTGTTCTTGCTTTATTAAAAAAAACAGACATTTATTTTTTATTTATTTTTTTATTACAGCTTGATTCCACACCGTATTTTTGGTACAAGTATAGAATTTTCAGCGTGGATATCGGTAGCCCGAATTTTGCAGGCCAACCATAGATATCAGGTGCGCGTCGGCGTGGGCTCGAACCTCGGACCATGTGCATGGTCGGCGAGAGTCCTAACCACTGTGCCACCGACGCACTAAATATTTTTTCTAAGTAGTATATTTTTAAAAATAGCAAAAGAAAATTAGTAAATGAATTGCCAGCAATACTTACATCTGTTAATTCTTGATTTGATTTTTCCAAATTCACTTGAAAAAACACACTACTTTTATACACGTACTGATGACGAATGATAAATCGGAAGATATGGAAAATATATATATAGGACTACCACTACTACTGATATCATCAATAGTAGTATTTTTAAGTAATACAGGATAGATAAACAATTTTCTATTTCACATAATATTCATACAATCAGTCGGATTGCATTTTCTTCTTTCTTTCCTTCACACTGAATGTGATCGGGCAGGTGTAATAATCCACTTGTCAGCTGAACAGAAACTAATCATCATTTAGAAACTGTTAAACACCAAAAATGTGAAGAAAACAACATCAGAAGATATTACTTTTTAATATCAAATAAGTAGTATAAAAACAGAACATATATCTACACATGATTTAGTAAATTCATACTAGCAAGCAAACAAACAAACGGATCTTGTGAGGTAAAGATCAACAGTGTGATTATCAGATGGTTGAGTTAAAGCAAAAAAAGTGTGTGAAGAGTCTATTGATCGATCAATAAGTAGAAAATTGTGCTTTACTTATTACAAGATGATTGGAGTACTTTTCAGTGTATGGGTTTTAATGGGTTATAGAAACTAAGTTGTATATTAGTAATAGCACGCCTCTACTTGGATGTGATACTAAATAATGAAGGGGATAAGTATATATCTTGGCGTCACAATTATGCTCAACAAATGAAGTGATACTAATAATTACAAGGGTCAGATCTAACTGGATACCTTAATAATGTGCTCATTTTGTTTTGAGTTTATACTAGAAACGGTTGGTTAGATTTGCAACTCCGTTAATTCGGTTTTCACACGTATCAGTTTAAACGTTTTATAAGCTACCTATCGCCCAACAAAATGCAGAAGCCTACGCTGAAGAGATTGTTGAATGACAATTGTCATGACAGGCACTCAAGTGGAACACGAATGGGAAACAACGAGTTAGGGTAACACATAGAGGGTATTGTGCGATCAGTGGAATCAGATTCAAAAGAAGTAGCTGTCGTAGCTTGAATGGCCCAGTGGATAGCTCCATGGTGTTTGAAACCGTGGGTTCCAGTCCCCATGGAAACAGTATCAATTACCCACCGGAGGAAATGTGCATCTTGACTGGTTCTAGTCAGGTTCTAGTCATTATCCACCGAATTACCTGTTACCAAAACTTCAGAAAATTATACGCAAGCTACTAATTAGTAGTTACTAGTTAGATCTGAACAGACGAATGCGTATATGTTTAGTAAATAAGATTCAAAAATAGCTATAAGAAAAATAGGTTTGTAGCGAAAAATAATTTCTCTTTCTTGACGAAGTCACCGACTCGACTGGATTAAAAGACAGTTTCATATCATCAACTATCAACAAGCTTCAACTCTACAAGAGAAAGACTGATGATAATATTATTATCTATGTTGAGAATTGGGATCTCAAAACCTTCAACAATGGTCACTCAAACATCGAATTCATTCTAGAAGTTGAATATGATACAAGGTTTTATACCCTTGGTGTTATTTTGAAAAGAAATGCTGTTAACTCGATGGGGGGGGATCCATATTCAAAAAAATCCATATGGAATGAATAGTTTATCAGTTTTCAGAGTTGTGTTCCTCTAAGCATAAAGAGGATCCAGAAAATAGGTACGGAAGGATCTACTGAAGGAGAACTGCTATATCTCCAGAGAACATTGATAGAAAATGGTTTCTCACCCATACTCATACAACCGAATCTAAAACGAAAGGAAACTTCTGAGCAGGTTCAAATCACCCCAAAATATGCGTATGCCTCATATCAAATTTGAAAGTAACGCTGAAGCGGAAATTCTTCGAAATCTATAAGTAATACATAATTCTCCGCCAGCCTGCGAGTGACATATCCTCTCGAGGAACTACTCAAATGTATATACCAGTTAACCTGCTCGCATGAAACTAAGTACATTGGACCTACTATGCACGCAGTAGCAAACTGCGCTTGGGAACACTATCTAACCTGACTGGCTAGCAAAGAGACGACACAAGTATGGACATAGTTCGGGAACAGAACATCCGGTGAACTCAAGAAACCTATCTCCATTTTAAAAGTCCCTCAAAGTCATAAACAAGATCTGATCACACCTCTTCCTTTCTAAGGGACGGTAATCAAGGCATCTCGCTGGGCGTAGCTGAGACACTAGCGATCCAAAAGTTCAAGCTCACGCTATTGTATGTATTCAAAAGAAATACGTCCAAGTGTCGTTTTTATTATGGCCGTGAAAAAACAGTCACTTTTCCCAATGGTAATTATCTTATCACCTTTCTCATACAATCTTCCTATTTATTTCTGTTATTTTTACATTTCTAACTTCTATCTGTACTAATGTGGTTTTTATGCGAACTTCCTGTCGGCTTTTGTCATGACTACTTTTGAATCCCTAATTCCACAAAAATTGAACTTTCTGAATAATTATGATCCTGTTATGTTTTTATCCGATCGTCCTGTTGATCATCACATTTTATTTCCTATTAATACATTTTATTAATTTAGTCCTTGACAGAAAATAAGTCTGCAACTTTTCCATCCATTTACCACAAATAAACGAATGTACACCCCCAGTTAATGACTTCATTGAGACGAAAATTCTTTTCGCTGTAACTTTCTTTTCAATGTTTACTGTTTGTTTAATTGACGTGTCACAAAAATGATTTTCAACAAGTTACAGAGTTTCGTCAACAGCAGCCTCATTCTCTGGCTCCATACCAAAGATCAAATGGCCAACTTGTCAGAAACACTGGCTGGTAACAAGTCAGCGGGTGAGAGCCGATAGCTCCACAAATATGTAGGAGAAAATAGAGATAGACTGATCTAGCATACGTTGAAGAGGCTGTCAAACGACATCACGAGTATTGAAGGTCATTGCTAGAGTGAAATGCGAATGGGTAGTTGCGAGTAGGTTGTTGGTGTGAGGGTGACATGGGGGAGATCATGCGAGGAGGAGGAGGAGAGGGGAAGATAAGAGATTATGTGCAATCGTGGACGCAGATGAAGAGGACTTCAGAAAACAGAAGAAAGTGAAGATGTGTTGCTGAATCCCTACGTCTCAAGGGAACAAACTCTTATAGCAGCGCTATTACCAGACATCTCCTCGACACGGGTCATGAGGTGGAAATCGAGAAATCCTTCAAAATTATCAATAGACAAAGGAGCTCCATTCTCCTCAAGTTTGCCGAAGCAATTTCTATCAAACGCTTGAAACCAGATCTATGTGTTCAGAAAGAATCAGTTATTAGTCTTTCCTTGCCTTGGTAACTGGATGTCTTTTTTTCTCCCATCTGATTGCGTAATCTTTGTCTTTAACCTCACCCTGTTTTATATTCTGTAATTTTGCTTGTCTCTTGTTTCTATGATTTGAGTTCAACTCAGTACATTGTTACCTAACTTATTAGTCACTTTGCATCTCTCATCTGATTGTGTAATTTTATCTTTAACCTCAACCTCCTTTTACAATCTGTAATTTTGTTTGTCTCTTGTTTCTATGATTTGAGTTCAACTCAGTACATTGTTACCTAACTTATTAGTCACTATGCATCCAACGCACATCCCTTACCATTATATACATACATTTATTTATTATTTTTTAACTTGAACTGCCTGTGTAAAAACTATATAAGCGCAATTTTCTGAGCACTGTTTACTAGTTGTGAAACTTTCTGTCAACATGTAAAATTTGCAAGTACGTTAAAACGTTTCTGTACTTAAACCTGAAAATTTATTTAGGCTGTAAGCAGCTGACGAGAAGCCAACGAAATAAATGATGGTACCATGTTATTCTGCACAAATCAATGTTGTTCTCGCTTTATTCAAATTTATCAAGGGGAATAAATGCATGAAATCCCCATATCCCACTCGCAACTCAAGAAAGTAATAATAATAATGCGTCTATATTCCTTTGATTTGAAGAATGACTATAATGACTACTGACGAATACTTATAAAATAACACTGTTTACAATTTAAAAATAAAGTTAAAATAATTGATTGAACTCTTGTGAGTTTTTTTTGAAAATGATTTAGTAACTGTTGTCATTAGCAATGTGCATATGTGTATAGGCAATACACTAACAGAGGGACGTCAAACGGAACCAGTACACTTTTATTTTATGACACATTTAACACCGTGATAGTAATTGAAGCGAAATAAATAATAGTAACAAAATATTAATATAGCAAAAGTTACGCAAACATAAAAACCAGAAAAAGAAATACACAACACAAAATGGAATGATAAGGGGAAATCTATTTAGTAGTTAGGTTTTCATTGTGATTAGATAAAAGCAGGAATAATAGTAGTGCAAACATTTATTTCTAGAGTAGATCACTTTAAAATGCTTTATCACTTAACTTTTGTTGCGTCACAACTTTGAATCCAACTCCTATGATGTTTAGCCTAGGTAACTGATTAATACCCCTAGTCTTCACATTCTCATTTCACTGATACTCAGGGAGGCCTATACATTAGTGATATACCGATTAATATCCTGTCTGGAAATAAACCAATCATAATTGGCCTACGCAAGTAATCGATGTCCAGTCTGGAAACCAACCAATCAGAGTTGACCTACAGGTAAGTAATCGATGTCCAGTCTGGAAACCAACCAATCAGAGTTGACCTACAGGTAAGTGATCGATGTCTAGTCTGGAAACAGTCCAATCAGAATTGTAAAGTATGATCAATGCAAAAAATACTTAAATTATAATAGGAATAAAGATATAATAGCAAATCAAATATCAACTAAAATTAGGAAATTTCCACAAAAATTGAGGGTCATTCAAACCTAGATGGCCAAGGTAAGGACAGTGTCTGAATTAACTTCTTTTGGACGCATAAATTAGGCTTCTTAATGTGGATCCCAACAGCCTCAGCAATATTTAGTAATCGAACTCCTAAGGCGAAGTTAAGATTTGTTGGTATCCGGTAAATAACTCTAAAAGCCTGGTTAACATCAATCTTATGTTCTGTATCCAAAAGATGAGACAGAATAGCGCTACGGATGGATTTTGTTTGGCCTTTGCTTAACCACGCAGGGTGATGTTCGGAAATTCGACGAGAAACACGCCTAATTGCGCGGCCTATGAAACTGGCTCCACAGGAGCAGTTAAATTGGTAGATACACATGGATGAGGCGAAATTAGACAGTTTTACTTTTACTCCCGAACGCAGACGAGGAGTGGTTTTAAAGATACAACTTAATTCAACAGCAGGGAATGCTCGTTTTACCGCACTTCTAATGCGCTGTGTTAGTATCTCGCTAGTGTT